AAGGGGTGATGGGGGGATTTTGTTTTTCCAAGAAGTGATGGAAAAACGAAGACCACCTGTTTGGTTTTCATCCGACAAACAAACAAACAGGGAAAATACTGCTTGTGTGTTGGTGTTTATTTAATGTTTGTAAATAAGTAAACAGGAAGTAAATATAGATGTGTTTGTGTGTGTAAATGTATATCTATGAGAGAGAGAGAGAGAGAGAGAGAGAGAGAGAGAGAGAGAGAGAAAGAAAGAAAGAAAGAAAGAAAGAAGGAAAGAAAGACAGAAAGAAAGACAGAAAGAAAGAAAAAAAGAAAGAAAGAAGGAAAGAAAGAATGAAAGAAAGACAGAAAGAAAGAAAGAAATATGCAGAGAGAGAGAGAGAGAGTAAATAAAAGAGCTACCTTGTGTTGTCAGGGTCATGTTCACACAGTTTTGACCACCTGAACACCACCAGGTAAGAGAAACTTGACCTCACACCTGTCTGGCCAAATCTCCAGACACCTGCATCTGCTTTATCACCTGAGGTCCCCTGACAAACACACCACAAGGGAGATTGGTTAGGTTAGGTTAGGTTAGGCGTGTGTGTGTGTGTGTGTGTGTGTGTGTGTGTGTGTGTGTGTGTGTGTATTAGTGTATTTATATTACCTAACAAACAAACAAACAAAAACAAACAAACAAACAAACACATTATTTCCTAAACACAAAAACATTATACGAAGATAAAATCCAAAATTCGATTATATATTCTACAAATTAATGAAAAATATGGTTAAATTAATTATCTCAGAGATATGTTATTTACAGGAGCAAAAATATGAAATAAATTGAAACACATTTTATGGTAATTTGTTTAAATATTTTGTACTGTTATATTAATTACGTTATATATGTTATTAATATGTTATTGTTATGAGTTATGGTAATTTGTGTGTGTATGTGTGTGTGTGTGGGGGGGAGGTGAGGTGTGTGAATACCTGTGTGAGGCTGTAAATGGGAAGGAGTGAATGGGGTGAGGTGAATGAGGAACAGGAAAGAGGAGGATAAGGAAAGGGAGGGAGGGAATGACGGAGGAAGGGAGGAATGAAAGGAGGGAGGAGGGAGGGGAGGGAGGGAGGGAGACAAAAAAGCATGTCACACAAACTCTGCCTTCTGTTTGACACCACAACCGCATCTATTCCATACAAGCACCTACTGATCGCTATAAGAACAGTCCGGTCCCAACCATTGTAGAAATTACCAACAACTCGTAATCAACCAGTGTATTCAGTCCCAGTCACTCTTACCTTTTTGCACTGTCACTATGTTGAAATGTCCTGTAGTATGACGTTCTCCCCACCTAGTCATTATATATCATATTTGTATCACATATTTTACTTGTATATTATTTGTCAATCAAGAGACCCGTTCCCCAATTATGCAACTGTATATTTTCATCCTTCCATTTGCCATGCTCTTTCAATGAACAGTTAATTATTAATATTATTATTATTAAACGCTTCATATATAGTAGATCACCTGCCACATCCCCGAACGCATTTCCAACACCCTGCCCTATACACCGTAGCCCCTGTCACTATCCCAGAGACCACACCATTAAACTCCCAGCTCCCCCAGACGAGATACTTAGTCTAGCAAACGAAATGGTGAGAAAATTGGCCACAGACAGGCAGACACAATCATATAGACACAATAATGATAATAATAATAATAATAATAATAATAATAATAATAATAATAATAACAATAATAATAATAATAATAATAATAATAATAATAATAATAATAATAATAATAATAATAATAATAATAACAACAACAACAACAACAAACGTAACCTCCATGAACGATCCTTTTCAGAACGGGTCGAGTGAGAGTGAGGCCCTCATTATTATACACAGTACATTACGTTACATTTGCCGACGATTCATCTTAAGTATTAGATATTTCTCTTATCTTATCGTTACTGTGTTGACTCATTATGAATACAAGGAGGGGAAACCGTGCCTTGAAGGTGTGTGTTATTATTATTATTATTATTAAAAGATACAACCGTTATTACTCTCTCTCTCTCTCGTTTGTACCACTAAAAGGCAGCATCCGGGAATTCCGCTTCACTAGACAATAAGAGAGGCCTACGTGGGAACATTTTATTGTAGGCCTAAATTGTTGAGGTTTAAGTCCACCAGTGTTTGTGTCTGTCTGTGTGTAGGTACAGTCTCTCTGCCCCCCTGTGTCTGTATGTGTGTAGGTACAGTCTCTCTGCCCCCCTGTGTCTGTATGTAGTTCCGTCTGAATGTCTGTGTTGGTGTGTCTGTCTTTTGGCTGGCTGTCTGTCTGTCTATAGGTCACTCTGTCTGTGTCTGTCAGCATGTATGTAAGGCTGTCTTTCTTAGTGTATATATGCATGTATGTCTACTAGTGTCACACTCTGATAGTAATGCTGTTGATATCTCTCCTATGGTCAATCACCTCCCGGTTGTCCAAGTCAGCAGATCTTTAAGAAACCTACGAACCTTTGTCTCTTCCTTCCCTCTTCCGCCCTTCCTCCGCCCTTTCTCCGCCCTTCCTCCGCCTCTCCTCCGCCTTCTCTCCCCTATGTCTTCCCCTCCTTTCTTCATCCATTCTTTACCCCTCTTCCTTTTCTCCTCTCTTTCTTTCTCCACCCTTATGTCTCTCCTTCACTTCTCCTCCGTCTCTCCGTCTTTTCCTCTAATCCTTTCCATCCCTCCTTCACTCCCCCTTCTGTACTCTTCTCTTCCCTCCTCTTCTATACTTCATTCTACCATCGTATCCATTATGCTTCCTTCACCTTCCTTCCCTCCCCTCTTCCTCCTCCACCCCCATCCCTTATCCCTCTCCACTTCTTGCACACCTCCTTCCTTTCCTCCTCATTCATCCCCCCTTCCCCTCTCTCCTCCCTCCCTCTTCTGCCCCTCCCCTACCGCCTCTCCTCCGCCGCCGGGGGACGTCCCTCTCTTTCCAATGAAATCAGTTCCCCCTAATCCCCAAAGGCCCTGTCCTTACTGAGAGAGAGAGAGAGAGAGAGAGAGAGAGAGAGAGAGAGAGAGAGAGAGAGAGAGAGAGAGCAATGTTGGAGGCTGTAGTGAAGGTGGAGTGAAGCTACACCAGGGACTTCAGAGGCCTCCAGGGTGTGTGTGTGTGTGTGTGTGTGTGTGTGTGTGTGTGTGTGTGTGTGTGTGTGTGTGTGAATTAGAGTGCCAGCATCTTCTTGTTCATGTACAAGTGCCAACGCTCTAAAGATAACCGACATTACTCTCTATCTCACACTAGAGTCCCACACTTCACGTGATGTATGTATGAAAGTCAGCAGCACAACAGGAGGACGGAAAGACCTAAAGTATTTACAAATGTCATAAATATTCGTCAATAAAAAAAGGCCAAAAGCTGTTAAGTTTTAGAGGTCAAGAGGTCAAAGGTCAAGGCTACAACTCTGAAAAAAATTACCTCTCCCTTCCTTTCCCCTCACCCCTTTCTACCCCTCCAACCTGGAGTGATTCGGTACTTTCCTCGAGTACAGTCCAGAGTAGTCAGCCAACCAATCAAAACTCCGCTTCTCTTATACGGAAATTATACCAGCCAATTAATCACCGTCTCACTCAACAAACGGAAGCTCTCAGAGTGAACCAATCAGAATTTAGATTTTTGCTGTGGGTTTTTTTTTCTAGGCCAATGACAGCCATGTTTTAGTAAGTGGGCTTCTTTGATCGGGCCAATCAGCACCGAGCTTAATAAACGGTATGTATGAGAGCCAACTGTGCCAGCCAATCAGCGTCTTTCTTGCTGTTGTTGTTGGACAGACAGACAGACAGACAGACATAGACTATCAAGCACATAAATAGACTAAACACAGACACACAGACAGACTAACATACAGATTAACAGACAGACAGACAGACAGACACTCTGAAATAGACTAACTAACGCACACAGACAAACAGAAGACAGACAGACAGACAGACAGAGACAGACAAACACCAAAAACAAGTACAGACACATTTCTAGATTATTCATAGTTGTTTTCTTCCGTATTGATCTTCTTAAATTAACTTAGTTCTTGAGGCACAGAATGTTCACCAATCAACATCGAGCTTCACAAATGTTTATCTGAGTAAGCCAATCAGCATCGAGCTTTATAATGTTTCTGTGAGTAAGCCAATTACCATCGAGCTTCGTAAATAGAATATGCAAGGGAACCAATCACCAACAAGCTTAATAAACGGAAGTTCTGTGATAAGCCAATCAACTCTGTGCCTGATGACGTAATATCTGACCGTGAACCAATTAAGAGCATCGCTCATGACGTAATATCTGACCATGAGCCAATCAGAACCACGCTTATGACGCAATATCTGCGAACTGTCCAATTACAGCCGCGCTGATGACGTAATACCAACGATCGAGCCAGTCAGGAGCTCGTTTCAATCTCGCTCTGGTTAATACTGGGAAGGTGACAGCTGCCATGTGACCACAAGCTGTGATATTCTCCCAAAATCATCCTGTTTGTGGAGATAATTTGCATACAATATTGGCTGTACCGGACCAGATCATTTTGGTGTGTGTGTGTGTGTGTGTGTGTGTAGAGACAGACGGACTAACATTCTCAACATAGCGAAAGAACTCGAGTATAACACCACTGTTTACATGATCAGCTGACTCTACCACGTGATTTTGTTTATATATATATATATATATATATATATATATATATATATATATATATATATATATATATATATATATATATATATATATATATATATATATATATATATATATATGACGTCAGAGAGAAGTTGTGTTTACGTATAAGTGTCAGTGTTCTTATAGCCTAATGACATAATAGTCTTCGTTCTATATAACATTGTGACGTAACAGTCGTGGTTCACATACACGACACTGGGACATCAAACACAGCTCTTGTTTACACCCAGAGATGTTGTTTACAGGCCAGAGACTCCCAATAATCACGTCACTCAGCTTTGTTTACTTACCTTCATGACGTCAGAGAGTTTGTTTACATACACAGCTGATAGAACAACACCTCGGTGACGTAACACGCGACATTTAC